ATGTGAACTTCCCCATTGCATGACTCTTGGCAATGGCTGGACATTTTACATTTTTTCCTTAACCCTCAATTATTGAGAACAAAGGACCAAGATGAACTTCTTCGTCCACACACTCTTATTTCACATAGAACAATATTTTGATCACTGATACTGTCACTAGATTTGGCATGTTGCTAGTCATAAGTTCATAATATATATCTTCAAGCCACTTAAAAATTGTGGGCAATTCTTGGATGGAAAGATGACGCATAGCTGAAATCCTGAAATATAGACTACGGTCAAAGCAATATGATTACGAATCAAAGTCAAACAACTATAATGTCTAACACCTGTGCCATTCAGGAGGTGACAAAGAAAGTGAACGTGCAAAAATGGTAACGGTTTGACCAAGTCTAGCAAGTGCAGTACACCTAAAAATGCACCTTAGGACCCTAAAGGTGCGTAATAATAAAATAAATCAAATCATGACAATGGATGCAATTAAAAGTTACCTCCCATCAGGATTGTTGGGTGAAGTTAGAAATATGCACTTTGGTTTCTCCTGCTCAACAACTTCAGTAATCAGTTCTACATCCAAGCTAAAATCTGGCTTCCGGGGTACTGCTTAGTTGGATGACACCAAATAAGTTCATGCACACTTGACATTGTCAAATTATGAAAATGATGGCATACAAACATATAAGTGGAAAGGAAGGAAACTCTTCAATCATAGTTAAACATAGGATAAAACAATAAAAAAGCTAGGTGAACAAAGATGAAAGAATGGAAACAAAAGAGTTTATGTTTAATGTTTACCTTTGATAACAAGTGCCCCATTAACAGCTGCATCAAATTCATACATTGTGAAGGTTGGAGGGCAGTCCACAATTTTGTCACCGGGATCCAGAACACAACTGAAGCAAGATTAAAAACACAAAAAGCAAAAAAGAACAAAATAAAAATAAATATCAATCAAAGGAGAGGTGGCAAAAAAGTTATAGTCTCATTGTGCAAATTACGAAGTTAAAGCAGAAAATATGAAATTACGGCAATCACGAGATCTTCTATCACTGACCGCATAATCAAATCAATGAGTTCATCTGCACCACACCCTGCAAGAATATATTCAGATTCAAGACCCGAATCCTGGGCAAGAGCAGCACGCAATCTACGGCTTTCAGGATCAGGATAAACATAAGGGAATTTCAGTGACCCCAAAGCCTCAAAAACCTAACCAAAATTTGAAATTTGTAACCAGGACAAAAACAAATTGTAAAACATCAAAATTTCCAGCAATTGCAAGGAAGGGGTTTTAAAGTTAAAAAGTCCAAATGACATCTTTGATAGAACTGGTGATTATATTCAGAAAAGTTAATATAGTATATGACTTGCCTCTGGAGGTGGACCATATGGGTTTTCATTTGCATCTAGTTTGACAATATCCTCAGGCTTTCTACCTAGACGAGTTGACAATACCTGTCTCAAAAACCCGTAACTCGCAAATTAAAGAGAATAAAAATATATGCTTATTATTTCAAGTAGCTAGTAATTGAATATAACTAACTAACAACCAAACAACTCACTCAAATAAAACATAAACCATCCAGAAGAAACTTAAAGCATTATCATAATAAGGATGAATCAAACACATCACCAGACAACCAACTTCTCAGAATAAGCAAGCAGAAATTCTTAAATGCATCAGAACTAGTTTCACGAAATTTGACAAAACTCGCAGTAGCAACCCGGGCCATTCAATCGAAAACAAGACATCGACTAACATTTTGACATATTCAAGTGGGGATAAATTGAGGTTTATGTGTTGTGTTCAATTTTAAAGTGGCATGTAGTTCGCTCAACCTAAATTTGAATAATTCATAGGAAACTTAACCAATATCACAAAATTAATAAGAAAAAACGAAAGGTCTGCCTAAAGGGTTGTTAGGTAAAACCATTGGTACCCCCATCAAGTGCTCAAGTTTAACTTTAAATGGGCCTTTGTATTAAATACAACATATAACACACAAGCATCTACCATTTAAAACTGAAAATTCACTTAAATGTCTAAATTTTAAGTTAGAGAGGGACTTGAATTATCACTAAATGTTGAAAAATCTTAGTGGAATGTGGCTTTCACTATTTAATCACAATGGGAGAGTTCTTCCTTTAGTTTTAATTTTTAGCACAAGTGATTGAGCACCAAGTTTTATCAAATAGAGCCTAGCAAATATAACAAAATTGAACAAATGAGCTAATAATAAATTTGATCCATTTGATTAGTAGAAGAAAATTGTACAGTTAAACCATTAGTTAATATGGTTAACTATTCGCAAGAGGCCAATTAATGGAGGTTTGAACTAATATCACGAGCACTACAGTAGTAGCCCTAGCACATTCAACCAAAACCAAAAGAAAAAAAAAACAAAAACTCTTTATTGTTATTCTAAGAACCAACAATTGCATAGCCGCGAGAAATTCTCAAATGAAGTAAGTTGTACACCCATCAGAATAAGTGAAGAAGAAATTTGAAAAATATGTACTGATATGTAGGGGAGGACAAATGTCGGGCCAGGTCCGGCCCGCCCGGCACTACATAATAAGGGGTTTTGTGTTTGCCCAAGTCCTTCCCTAACATCAGGCCTCTATATTTGTCCAAGCCCGGTCCAAAAAATAATTATAAATCCCAAGCCCACCCATCGGGCTATATGTTAAAAAAAAATAAATCATTTCATAATTAAATTCAATCACACATTATATTTCTTAAATAAATATATTGACATCATTATAAATTAAAAAATTGTGTGTATAAATTAAACAATTTCTTAAATAAATTTAATTACATATCACCACAAATGTAAGTTTCAATCAAATCAACAAAGATTAAGTCTAGATCGCGACAAAAAATATATATTTTAATGTATTATAAATAATTAATTAAGGCTAGGTTTGGCATAATCTAAAAAAGTTAAAAAGTCAAAAAGTCACTATCATATTTAAGTCACATCACCTTATTTAAGTCACATCACCTCTCTATCACATCATTTCAAACTCAACCCATATTTCATAAAAAGTCAAAAAATACACTTATTTAGATCATCTCAAACAATCCCTAATTTAATAGCGGGCCAAACCGGGTTGTTGACCCAGCCCGGCTGTAAGGACTAAAATAGCCTTCCCAAGCTCTAAAAAAATAGGGTTGGGCTAGGCGGGCCAACAAGCCGATATCCACCCCTACTAATATGTATGTTTTCATTTAGATTCAAGTTAAATCACATCATTTAAAAAAATAATAAAAAATAATTCTCTCTCAATTACAGCAAATAGTAGGGGTGTGCAAAGTACAGAATTACCTGATACACCTACCCGGACCCACCCAATCCAACCACTCTGCGGACGGTTTCGCCAAATCAACAATCAAAAATGGTTCATTTTTCATAAATATTTTTGAATTTCGGTCAGATATCGGATTTGATTTTTAAAAAATTGGTTAAATTGAACCGACCAAATTAATTATATATATAATAAAGGTACTGCAACTTTGCTTTTTACCTCCCAAGATACTCATATCTTCCCCATGCCTGACTTAAGTAATTATATATTAAATACATTACTAGAAAGCTTTGATATATATATATATATATATATATTTATTTTCTCTCCCCAAGACCTCGTTTTTTACACTAATATGCTTCCAAGTCTGGCCCAATTAATTATATATTAAATGAAAGCTTTCACAGATTTTTTCCTTTTATTTGCCCAAGATAACTTATTCATTCCCATGTCATCTCTATCTATCTCATATACTCAATTTTCTAGATATCTAAACGTTGTGTCTCTCGCTTTAAAAAAAAAAAAACCTACCTCTTCTCCTCACCCTTTTGTCCACCCATCTCTCTCTATCTATTACCTCTCTCTCTCTCTCTCTCTCTCTCTCTCTCTCTCTCTGAACCCCCTCAATTCATCTCAATATGAAAATCCCTCTTATCTCAAATCTACTCATTGAACCCAAAATCCCTAATCTCAACAGCGAAGTGGTGATTGACAACGATTGGCTAAGGGCAAAGCCCATGGTTTCAACTCTCTATTTTGATTTCAGAAATCTCATGCATAATGGCTGAAGCTATATAGTGGCGTGAGACTCCTCTCCCTCTGCCTCTCCCTCTCTCTCTCTCTCTCAGTTTTCCTTCATTCACCCTCTCAGATCAGGTGTATGAGAGTTATGTTTAAATCACTATGAATTGTTTGTATATTTGATTTTAATATATATATATATATATTAGAGTTTCAAAATGAATAGAATGTTATGCTACTGCTAAAGAATTGCTCTCATTTCTATTTTTTCTTTTTTCTCCTCTCTCTTAGATTCGTATATCTATAGATTAGGGTTTGAAGAAAAGGGGAAAGGTAATCAATTTGGCTGACCGAAACTCAACCAACTAAAACGGTTTCGACTAAAACAGTTTCGAAGTGTATTATACTCAAAATCGGTTGACGAAACGTTCAACCCGCTAGAGTCAAATCAGTTGACGAAACATTCAACCTCCTAGAGTCAAATCAGTTGACGGATCAATGGCAAATCTGATCCGACTCGACCCTTGCACACCCTTAGCAAATAGAGTTTCAAACCAAACCGAAAAAGACAGATAAACAGCAAGAAACTTTGTATCATATCAGCATCACCGCATTGATTACATTTATGCACTGAAACTATCAAACCGGTACACTGGTGAGAGAAAATCACCTCAAAAGGCAAAATGGGCTGATAGGGAGACAACTTGCGAAGATGATGACGAACGAAAGAATCTCCTGTCAGCCGTTGTTGACCTTCTTCTTTGACTTGTTGAATGGGTATTGTGGATGCCATACAAGTGACCCTTGACTGATTTCTTTCAAATGAGGAGCAACGGGGTTTATAAGAAGATGCAGATTTGATCATGCAAATAGATGATGACATACCGTGGAAATCAACCACACCCATGAATCGGCTCTGCTTGGTCGCCGGTCGCCGATGGTGGAGTGGCCGGTGGTGGAGCTGAAACCGGCGGAGCGGACACCACAGGAGGTGTGGCCGGAAATTGACCTCCAACGCCGGCGACGATAATGCAGATAAAGCTACAACATAGACGGACCTGTGATGGAATTTGTGGCAGCGGAGTGAAGGTATGTGTAGAGGTCCGGCGGGCGGCCAAGGCGAGACTGCCGCCCGCCGGTGAAGCAGAATGACTAGGTTGTTAACCTAGCTCTGATACCATGTTAATTCTAATGTGTAAAGAGAGAAATACAGAGAATAATGTATCTATATTATTATTGATTGATGTATTACAAGATTGTTGTTTTTATTTTGTATCTTACAAGCTATTATATAGGAGAGGATTTGGGAGTAGGTGAGGTAGGTGAGTGGTGGTAGTGGATGGTAGTGGAGGTGGTGGGTGGTAGTGGAGATGGTAGGTGGAGTTGGTGGTGTGGTAATTTACACAATTTACAATTTACATTAACAATTCGTATTTCACGATTACTTATCTTTCACTTTTCAAATTGTTTTTGAAATTCATAAATCAAATACAGCCTTAAAGTCTTTCTTTCACCATTTCCTAACTCCATCAAACATAATTTGAAATTCGAATTTTATCAATTCTTATCTATTACATTTTTTGACCAAACATAATTTAAATGGAATAATAATCTTAACCATAAGAATATATTCTTCATATTCTAAAAGAAAAAAAAATCTCAAATTATAAGTGCTGTCACACTACGTCCCACAATTCACTCAGTAGACATCACACTTGGGGTGTGCGGTAGTTATTGGGTGATGTTGAGACATTGTCTTCCAAAACTTTGAGAGCCACAAGATAATGAAAAATTATGTGATGGTTTTGGATCAATTTCATATGGTGTCTCAATCAAGGAAGATGATATAGTGTGGATCATTTTGGGACTGTATATCATATGTATTCTATTATAAAATTAATAATTTTATTATAAAATTTTATAATATTAATTACAAAATGCGTAATTTAACTATAAATTAGTATAACAAAATGTTTATAACTTTGTGGTTGATATTATAAAAGTTTGTGACTTGATTACAATATTTTTTACTATGCCAATTTATAATGAGATTACATATTTTATAATTAGTGTTAATAAATCTTGTGACAAAATTATACATTTTCTAATAAGGGTGCACACCATAGGAGAATCCCTCAATTTAATATTTACTAGTTAAAGCTTTGGGATTCATGGTTCCTTTGGAAAATGCGTTGACTTTTTAACTTTTTAGTTTTTTGACTATTTTAATCTGGGATTAAAAAGTCTCGTTTGGGATGAGCTTTTTGACTTTTTTGACTTTTGTGAGAAAAAGAATGTAATGATTATGGATTGGTGTAATGTTCTGTTTTATTAGACTAAAGAGTTTATTTTGTTTTTTTTAACTATTTTAACCTAAAAAAACCCCAAACCTAACTTTCCCGACCCGACGAGGACTCAATATTTCTTGATTTTAGGAGACAACTTGATATATGTCAAGTGATGAGTTGTGCAGAGTACACTTCCAAAACCACTAAATAATTACTCCAAAATAATGGCGTTGTCTGGTCTTAACTTGTTTGGTGCAAGATGTGCGAGTAATTTATAATTTTTAACTTTATTTTAAAAATTCATGCTAAATATTTGATGTAACTTGGTAAAAATAGTTTCACTAATCTAGAAAAATTAGTTGTTTGGATGTTAGGGAAAAACATGTTTCTGACTTCTACTTTTTTATTATCAATTTTTAACTTGCAACAATCTATACGAAGCACGTTTAATATCAATCTCATTTCGTAAATATTTTTGAAATTCTGTTTGATTAGCATAATTAATAGTGAGATTTAACAATTTATAAGATTAATGTAAAATTGATTATTCAACTGAATTAGTGAGATATATAATTTCCTCTAATTCACCTTTATTTTACAATAAATATTAAAATATATAATTTAAATTAAATATTTTATTGGCGATAGCAAGATAAGTTCATGCAAATATGTCAACCACATATTTAGATATATAATTTCCTTCAATTCACCTTTATTTTACAATAAATATTAAAATATATAATTTAAATTAAATATTTTATTGGCGATAGCAAGATAAGTTCATGCAAATATGTCAACCACATATTTTCTATTTGCTTCGCCACTGCTATTTTGATTAGCTACTCTCGTGGTTGTTTGCAAATCCTCAATTTTGCCTCTTCATTATCTTTAATTAAAATAAAGGACTAGTGCACTGAGATCCAAGACCAACAATTATGGAATCAAGAAAGGTCACTGAACCCAACAAAACATACATAGTAGAGAGCTAGGTTAAAATTGATTCTTGATAAGTGAACTTTCACAACTTCTCTGTTATAAAACAGAGAAATTTAATCCTGAAAATTTTCAATTTCTCTGTTTTTTAACAATAATTTTTTTTTTTTTAATTTAGACTAGACTCCTATTTTTCAATTTTCAGTTTAAATTGAAATTTTCATTATTTTTTGTAATAGCAAGCACAACAAAATTTAGTCAATATTTCTTTAAAAAAAAATCATATTTATGGTAAATCTTGTTTGAAAGATTTCAACAAGAATTCTAAAAATATTAATTTTATATTTAAAAAAAATCCATATACAAAAGGGCAAATTACATATATCCCCTCGAGGTTTAGTTAAATTACAGATACTGGCTGAGATTTTGGAAATTACATCCCGCCCCCTGAGATTTATATTTTTATAACAAATTGCCCCCAAGGGTTTATATTTTCATAACAAATTGCTCCTTAATTTGTTATGCAAATATAACCTTCATGGGGGAATTTATAATTTCTCAAACCTCAAGAGGATATCTATAATTTAACTAAATCTCGAGGGAGGTATATGTAATTTTCCCCATACAAAATTACTAAATTTTTAAGTTTGAAACAATTCCAAAATTGAAAATATCACTCAATATGTGTCATGTTAGTATGCTCTAAAATATTAGAGGACTGCAAAGAAACTTTTTGTTTTGTATAATTTTCCAGAATCTTGTATTAAAATATTCTAAAAATATATTACTTTCAACCCTCTCAACCTTATCTAAATGGGAAGCATTTGCATAGTTTTTATGTTCAAAGAGGACAATAATATATATAAGATGAGGGAAGAAAATGATATTTTTTAATAATTGAGTGAATCTTATAAAAAAAAAAAAAAAAAGCGTAGACTGGAATGCCCTCTCATTTTAGAGTGCAAAGCAAAAATGGCCTCCATTCAACATTATAGTTTAACAATTTGTCATATATAATCAACAAAAATTAAAGATTAACTCAAATAAAAGATGTTCTTTGGTATATATAAACCTACATCTTCCAAATCGGTGTACATAGGAGTAATTACTCTTGGAAAAATTGGTTTTATAAAGCTTATTTTGGGCCAATTTTAAGTCCAACATTGAGTGGGCCCCAAACGTCTTTTGGGATCGGTTCGAAGAGGTGACGTATTCCTTACCGCATGGCAAGTTACACAGTGAAGATGGTTCGTCAAAACCATTTGTGAGTGAATGGGAACTTGACGTCATTTTCGGGTTCGTGGAATGGACATTTAAAGAAGTAAAATATAGGTTTCCTTGAAATAGTTATCCCACATTGAAACTTTAAGAGAGCTTGTGTATGTATATAAGCTCCAAATTGCAATACTTGGATTGGGCCCCAAGGGGCACCCCAAGTTTGTAGAAGGAAGGAGTTATGAACAAATGAAACATTGGCTCAAACCACCACAAGTGCGGGCGCGAGTGTGGGTTGGGTCGGTTCTAATATTAATTTTATTTGATTTTTTTCAAAAATTCTTAATGAAATTAAATTCCAATTTTGAGCCAAAATTGAAATTATTTTTCTGTCCAAAATTTTACCACCTTCAATCCGAAATTCCATACAGGTTCAAACTGTTTTACAGTTATAAAACTGCCAAATAATTGCCCAGTGGTTTCCAGCGGCAGTTTCTGGTTGAATCTGCCTCCAGATCTGTTTGAATTCAAATAGTATCTGTTCAAATTCAAAACTAAACCTGTTCACTTCCTTGGAACCTGTTCGGGTCAGATTGGTTGTCTATAAATACCAGCCCTATTCCAGCAGTTTATAAATTCTAAAATTGATTGAAAATTTCATTTTGCTTCCTATTTTTTTCTTTTGCATTATTTATTCTTCATTATAGTTTTAGAGAAGATTAAAGAGAGTATAGAACACAAGATTCTAGTTCGCCAGGCAAATTTGTTTGGAGTGCTACTATAAATTTGTGAAGATCATTGTATCTTGGGAGATAGACACCACTTAACCGTAAGCACCATAATGGGGCGAATCTGTCTTAAGGACAGAATGTCACACACTCGACTTTCGGTAAAAATAAATTCGGTATGTAATTTATTTTATTTGTTTGATTTATTTCAATTTATTTATTTTCATAGAAGATTGTTCCAACAATTACATCTCACTGGATGTCAAGAAAAATATATATATATATATATATTCATAAAAAAAATTTACAATTTCAATTATTAATATGTATAAAACATTGTGTCAAAATTTTTAATTTTCTTACACAAATGAAAATTACTTAATAAGATCTTTAATTGATGAAAAAAATTTAAAAATTTCAACACGAGAATATATTATTTTTAATTTCAACCTGAGGAAATATATTACTATTAGATGTTTTGCATTTAAATATCTATTGATGTCAAATGGCAAAATTACCCCCTCTTACAGAATGAATTATCTACGGGTCATTCTGGAGTACACAACCTCAAAAAATGTGCATCATAGGTAAATTATGATATTTGTAATATTAATTATTATAAATATCATAATTAAATTATTTTTAGTTATAATTAAAAAAAATTAAAAATTATAACTAAATATCACATAAGATATAATAAAAAAAATTATCATAATTAAAATAATAATCATAATAGGTCATATTTAACATCACAATAAATTCTAAATAACACCACAATAAATTACA